ACCCCTCTTATAGCATAAGCCCGAATGGTCTCAACCATATTGCATCAGTAAGGTGCACTTGTTGTTACAGCAGGATCAGTTTGTGTGCTGTGGACACGACCCGTATATTTTCGCAATCCGTGTTCTCAACATTTAGCATTTCGCTTATTATTTAATTGAATTTGCATCACTTTTCATGGTGGGGCTATGGTGGGGCTAAGCCATTTCTTGGTATGGCTGTAGCCTACCCCAGCCATACCCTGGCGCCGCCACTGCATATATTATTGGAAAACATCTCTGAAACTGAAAAAGTCATATTGCTAGTTTACCATAAAAGGCCAAATCGACCGGTTGGTTGAGCATATTTTCAAAAAAATAATTACACCCTTGTTAAAACTTTTTTTGTGCATCAAGTTATCTAATTATGTTCAGTCAGTGCTCTGACACTAAAATATGTCAAAATTGATATGGTTACCTTACAAAAGTTGACCAAAAAGAGTGATTTCGTCAGCAGTGATTTTTAGCATTGCCAACTTTCTCAGTGGAAGCTAGCTGAAGGGCTTTCTATTCGAACCACAGTGACATCTAGAGGTTTAAATAGCGGGCAAAAATGGGTTGATTGCCATGGATGTAGTGTTTGATATAGTTTACGTTCAATTTCAACTATTTTAGGCAGAAAAACGTCTATTGACTAAACGCTTTTTATTAATTTACTATTTAGAAAGGTTTTTGTGAGAAATCATTTCAAAAGTAAAACATTTTTTCCTTTTGTATTTAAATTTGAAATGTTTGCACCAAACATTATTAATTTATACATTTTTATCAATAGTTTAAAATTATGAATCCATTTATTTTATTGTATTTCCTTGAAGCTGGGGAAGATATCCAGCATGTAGTTCAACATGCAAATGTTCTATACAAGTAAGTATAAGTATAATGGAAAAGTAAATAAAATACGCTTCATAGGAGGATGTGGAATTATTTTCTCTCACCTTGTAAGTACACAATCAAACAATCTATAATTTAGCTCTGGCCTTCACTCACAAAAAAACACTTTGTTGAATTGGACACATTTTTCGAAGCTCTATTGACTGACATGCAATGACTGGGACTGATGGAAGAATCTGCGAGGAATTAACTAGGAGCAGAGAAATAATCATATTTTAAAAGACAGCAGCTTCATAAGAGGCCAACAAGAGTCACAAGGGTTTGTCACTTTGCTGAAGGATAGACCAGCTATCCAGGCCAGACTCTAAAGACTTTGCATGGTGTAAAATGCTGCTGCTGCAGTACTAGTGCTGATATCATGTCTACCATCCTCTTAAAATACTCTGTCCAACAATATAAGTCTCATGAAGAAAGGTGTTTTAACGCTTATTCAAAATAGTAGAGAAACATGCCTTCTAGTACTCAGGAGGGGACATTGACAGAGGATTACTCAAAAAGTACACAGTAAAAGTACTACTCACGAAGAACTAATGGCAAAAAATTGCATTTTTCCCCTCATCAAACTTAGCAGAAGTGGCTTGATTTTGTTCTCAGGAGGGGACTTTGACAGAGGATTTCAACAACAACACTACTGAGTCCAGCAGTATCAATATCATTAAGAACTAATGTAAAAATTGTCTTTTTATCACTCATCAAAGATAGCGGAAAAACATGCAGTGTACTCAGGAGGGGACTTTGACAGAGGATTACTAAAAAAGTACACAGTAAAAGTAATTCATTTTATTGTTGGTAGCAGTCAAACTAATGCAGAGTCCAACAGTGTCAGTTTTATTAAGAACTTGCGGTAAAATGAAGAGCAGCTGATTTGAAAAAACAAAGTGGAGAGACGGCTGAGTGACCGCAGTGCAGAATCGCTGTATAGTTTAAATCTCCTAACAATGTTGTCCATTTTAGACATAGACTTATTATATTTACATTACAGTCTTTAATAACATTCATTTTCTGGGCCGTTTTCGTTGTGATCGCTAAATTCAACTCGTTTCCCCTTGTTTATAATATTATCAACGTTCCAAGCAAACGAGTGCTTTTGTTTTGAAATCACTTCCGCGAGTTTCGCGGCCCCCCTTCGCTCCAATGACCATTAGACCATTTAGTAAGGTAAAAAACTAAAAGCAAAAACGCCTCGCAGACACTCTTCCGTTTACTTGTTTAATAAAGAAAAACAAATGGTCCGTAGATACACGGATTCATCTCCCTCCATCATGTTGATTTGAATCAGAAGTTCTGAACATGAGCCCGCCCCGCTCAACCTTCTGAGCCAATCACAGCGCGATGATGACCTGCCTTCCATTTCAACCATACTCCTTCCGTTTCCACTATACTTTCTCTCACACATACATGCATTCTTCTCTTGCATACATATATTCTCTTCATACATACATGCATACATTCTTCTCTTGCATACATATATTGTCTTCATACATGCATATATTATTTATAATATTAAATGTAAACATTGAATGAATGTGCATGAGAGCAAAATGTATAAATATGAGCATTAAAATATATGAATATGAGAACAAAATGTAAAAATGTGTGAGTGAAAGACTTATAAATGTGTGAGTGACAATGTATGAATGTGTGCATTAAAATATGATAATATGAGAGCAGAATGTATGAATGTGTGAGTGTAAATATATATGTGTGTGAGAGTGAAAATATATGTATGTAAAAGGAGAATGTATGTGCGTGAGAGGACCAGTATGAATTACGGCCTGTACGGCCCCTCATACGATGATGACCTGCCTTCCGTTTCAACCATACTCCTTCCGTTTCCACTATACTTTCTCTCACACATACATGCATTCTTCTCTTGCATACATATATTGTCTTCATACATACATACATTCTTCTCTTGCATACATATATTGTCTTCATACATGCATATATTATTTATAATATTAAATGTAAACATTGAATGAATGTGCATGAGAGCAAAATGTATAAATATGAGCATTAAAATATATGAATATGAGAACAAAATGTAAAAATGTGTGAGTGAAAAATGTATAAATGTGTGAGTGACAATGTATGAATGTGTGCATTGAAATATGATAATATGACAGCAGAATGTATGAATGTGTGAGTGTAAATATATACGTGTGTGAGAGTGAAAATGTATGTATGTAAAAGGAGAATATATGTGCGTGACAGGACCAGTATGAATTACGGCCTGTACGGCCCCTTATACGATGATGACCTGCCTTCCGTTTCAACCATACTCCTTCCGTTTCCACTATACTTTCTCTCACACATACATGCATTCTTCTCTTGCATACATATATTGTCTTCATACATACATACATTCTTCTCTTGCATACATATATTGTCTTCATACATGCATATATTATTTATAATATTAAATGTAAACATTGAATGAATGTGCATGAGAGCAAAATGTATAAATATGAGCATTAAAATATATGAATATGAGAACAAAATGTAAAAATGTGTGAGTGAAAAATGTATAAATGTGTGAGTGACAATGTATGAATGTGTGCATTGAAATATGATAATATGACAGCAGAATGTATGAATGTGTGAGTGTAAATATATACGTGTGTGAGAGTGAAAATGTATGTATGTAAAAGGAGAATATATGTGCGTGACAGGACCAGTATGAATTACGGCCTGTACGGCCCCTCATAACCTTCTGAGGCAATCACAGCGCGATGATGACCTGCCTTCCGTTTCAACCATACTCCTTCCGTTTCCACCATACTCCTTCCGTTTCCACTATACTTTCTCTCACACATACATGCATTCTTCTCTTGCATACATATATTCTCTTCATACATACATACATTCTTCTCTTGCATACATATATTGTCTTCATACATGCATATATTATTTATAATATTAAATGTAAACATTGAATGAATGTGCATGAGAGCAAAATGTATAAATATGAGCATTAAAATATATGAATATGAGAACAAAATGTAAAAATGTGTGAGTGAAAGACTTATAAATGTGTGAGTGACAATGTATGAATGTGTGCATTAAAATATGATAATATGAGAGCAGAATGTATGAATGTGTGAATGTAAATATATACGTGTGTGAGAGTGAAAATGTATGTATGTAAAAGGAGAATGTATGTGTGTAAGAGTGAAAATGTATGTATGTAAAAGGAGAATGTATGTGTGTAAGAGTGAAAATGTATGTATGTAAAAGGAGAATGTATGTGTGTAAGAGTGAAAATGTATGTATGTAAAAGGAGAATGTATGTGTGTAAGAGTGAAAATGTATGTATGTAAAAGGAGAATATATGTGTGTAAGAGTGAAAATATATGTATGTAAAAGGAGAATGTACACGTGTAAGAGTGAAAATGTATGTATGTAAAAGGAGAATATATGTGTGTAAGAGTGAAAATATATGTATGTAAAAGGAGAATGTATGTGCGTGAGAGGACTAGTATGAATTACGGCCTGTACGGCCCCTCATACAAACACATGTCCACATTTAGGCAATAAAACCCCTTAAAGAAACAGTGGAACAGTGCATAAACACACACACATACAGCTCATGAAGACGCATCCTCACTTCTGCCTCTGACCACAGACACTGAAGCAGCTGACCTCATCGCTGTGATACCAGTTTAACACTTGCAGGTAGGAAATACATTTTCTAAGTCTGATTCAACAGATGAGATTTGTTAAACATCGGTAAAAATATCAAACACTTTTGTCGCCAGATAGTTAAACATTTGTGTTTTTCTTAAATTAAACAGGGGCTGTGCGCAAAGAACAAAAACCGTATCTATGAAAAGAGAGGTGTTGTAAACAGGGTAGCAGATTGCATTTTCCGTCCTTGGGCACTCCTCAATCTCGTTCCACTTTTAGTTTTCTTATCTGTTTCCCCAAGAAGTCAAAGTAATTCTGTTCGTTACATGCGCTCTTTGGTTATTCATATGAGGCAACATGGTGATGACATGTTTTTCTTTTTTTTCTTTCTTCTAAGCTTAAAGGAAGTTCTATAGTTGCTGCACTTATCTTGTTTCCCCTTTGAGGGCAGCCGTTTCCTTCTGTAATCTACAGAAACACACTTAACTTCTCAACTGGATTGTTTTTATTTTATTTTGAAGCTCAACTGCATTTGCTCCCATTGGTAAGGATACTTTTGATATATGAAATGTTATCTGCTTGTCCTCAGCCTCATTGAACCAAATATCTGGTTGGCCTTCTCTGCCATCTTTGATTTCTCACAACATGTTACTGTGGTATCTTGCTAGTTATATCAACAACTATTTGATGTCTTCATGCCAGATGTCACTGTGTGTATCATATGATCTGTTGCATTCCCAATGTGCGGCAACAGACAGTGTGAACCGACAGATGCTAATTCATGGATGTTTGATACTTAACTGGTAAACACTTTTATTTTCCCCCAAAACAGTCCATGGAGCCTTCTTAACCTGATGACCTCTAAGTGTTACTTGATTTATTTGTATTATTCAGCGAGGCTGGCATTTTTTTCATGGATGTGAAAATTGTGGGCATAGTCTTGACAAACTTAGATACAAGCATAAATGTTGCATATTTGTCTTTTAACCTTATAATGAAAGGTTGATTTTGTTTTAAATGTCAATACATTTAAGAATGAGAATAAAATAAATCCTAGCTACACAAAAGGCTTCTTGTCCATATTGACTTTTTAAGTCCAGTTTAAACGTGAGCCAAATACTTTATACTACATTTAAATACAATTAAACATTAACTAGATACAATCTATACATACAAAGCTATAGTCTGAGAGTATTCAGACACAAAACTCTGATGTCATGCCATGAGTTGTTGATGAGATTTTTAATTGCCACCCTTGTTTAGAATCAGCAATTATGTAAAAGGTCTCTTAGTTGTCCCTTTTAGCAGTTAATGTGACACGGATCATTGAATTATAGCTAAAGGAAATACATTGCCGAATATTTCTCACCTACCCACAAATGTATTTGAAGGCAGCACATTCTCAGACACTGTAGCACAATGACTCAGCTGGTACATCTGACGTGTCAACAAACACGGTTCATTCACAAACCGATATTTATTTATAACATCTGATAATGTCTATTTTTGTGGCATCATATGAAAATAAAGGCTTGTGATCAGAAAAGTTGACTGAAAGATGTTTTTCTTGCACGTCTTCTTCTTGTTTGAAGTTTTTAGCATGAAAGCAAACGAGGAAGTAATCTAAAACCACAGCGTTCACACCGACCCTGTGTTGTGCGGCTAAAGCGAACCCTTTTTACCCCCTTTGGTTTCAGTTTGTTTCGGTAACTATTATCCTATTTGTGCTTATGGCGCATTTCCACTGCAGGGCCTCGCACGGCTTAGTACGGTATAGTTAGGCCTTGGTAGGCCAGATCACTTTATGCTGCGTTTCCATTACTGTTTAGGAACTGGGGTAGTATCTATAGTAACGCAGTGTAGGCGGAGCCGTGACGTCATCTTCAATGTGAAACACAAAACCAACATCAGCCGTTAGCTGTTAGCCCTCAGAACTCACAGCTCCTCATATCTGTTCAGAAACTAGACAAAAGTTAAACAAGTACAAACCACAGACTGTCTGTGTCATGGCGAGTACAGTCGCTGGTTTATTTATGTCTGTATAGGCCGTTGTTGTGAGTGTGGACGGTCGGAGCATATACAACGTTAACTTAGCCAATCTCCATTCAGAAAACACGCATTTTAAAAGGTTTTTCGCCTGCCGTCTGTCTGCAGACTTGTCAAAGCATTAATTCATGGTTTTCACTAACCGGTATCAGCATGTTGTTACTTCGGCATCATTTTGAAACGTGTATTACAATTAAATCATGGTAAAATATGTTCATTTTGTTGTAGTTGCCAGCGATTCTCTCACTAGTTTAGCATACTCAGATGGGTTGTTGGCCTGGAAAGAACCTCGATTTTGGAGAGCCAGAACAACTGTGAAAAAGTACCCGCTAGCCGGAACTACGCCTAGTGGAAATGCAACCAAAAACGGGCCGGGCACGGCACGGAAATGCGCCATTAGTGCAGTCTAATACCAGAGTGTACTGCATGATACAGCCCAGCTGTGCTGTGATTGGCTAGTACACATTAGTTTATTTTCAGTAACCAGTTTAGCTAGCTAACTAGCCAAAGGCTTGTGAAATACAAGAACTTAAATGGGCCCTATTATGCTTTTTGGGGTTTTCCCTTTCCTGTAGTGTGTCATAGGTTTTTGTGCATGTAAATGGTCCACAAAGGCTAAAATCCCAAAGTTCCCTCCAGAGTTTCTAATATTTTGACTGTGTTGTATTCTCTTTTTCCAGCCACACAATGTCTCTCAATGCCTCCTTTCCACTCCTTAAGCCTTCCAAGAATGACCAGGCATCGATTAAGGACGCTGAAGCCATCATGAAAAACGTCTCCATGGTCCTCTACGCTCTGATTGTCTTCCTTGGCATCCCAGGGAACTCCATGGTGATCTGGGTGGTTAGATTCAAGCTCAAGGTGGATTCAAAGAGTATTACGAGTTACAAATGTATAAAAATGAAATATTTTCCTGAAGCTGATTGTCCTATTCTTGTGTCTGCTAAGGATCAGCTCAGTGTAAACAAGAATTACAAACTAACTTTTAACATGTCTATCTACATTTAAGTATGAGCATAATACAAAACAATATCCAAGCAGTTCATCTGTTTTCCTCTTTATTGACTTTTATTATTGCTTTGCTTCTGTTTTTCCTCCTCCTCAGCGAAATGTAACCAACGTTTGGCTGTTGAATCTGGCGATAGCGGACTTGATCTTCTGCATCACACGAATCTTCTCCCTCACCAAGAACCTCTTCTTCGACCACTGGCCATTCGGCACCTTCATCTGCAAGTTCAACGGCTTCTTCAAGTACGCCAACATGTTCTGCTCCGTCTTCCTGTTGGCTGTGATCAGTCTGGACCGAGCCCTCTGCGTCTGGCATCCCGTCCTCACCAAGCGCCGTCGCACCATATGGGCCGCCAGGGTGGTGGCTTTCTGCGTCTGGTGCTCAGCGATTATCTTTAGCACTCCATACTTTGTCTACCGCAAAGTCTACCTGGGGAAGAACAACCTGAGCAAGTGCTCTTTGGAGGTGAAGGAGGGGAACACCATTGCTAAACCAATTCTCTACTCAATCCGCTTCCTCTGTGGCTTCATGATGCCTTTCCTGGTCATCCTTATCTGTTACATCCTTGCCGCAATTGGTATCCGTCGAACCCGCCTCACAGGGAAGTCCCGCCCCCTGCGCATATTAGCATCATTAGTTGTTGCCTTCTTCCTCTGCTGGGCGCCATACCACTGCCTCCTGCTGGTGAAGATGGTGGACAGTAAGAACGCGGTGGTGAAAATCTGGCACCCTGTGGCAAAGGGCGTCGGCTACTTTAACAGCTGTGTGAACCCGCTGATGTACTTCTGCATTGGGCTGGCAGTGAGGGGGCGGTTCAGGCAGAGTCTGGCGGGGGTGTACAAGAGAGCTCTGGCGGACGATGGGGAGGGACAGGTGACCCAATCCCACGACCAATCTCTGGATGACAGCAGCGGGTCAAAGCACAGTACTGCCATAGTGGCAGGAAGCAGTCTCACAACCCCCCTCTAGAGTTAACACAAATGACACATATTGACATATGACAAAACATAGCAGAAACAAAAAGACAGTCATCTGTTATGTTTTTACTGTATGTCTTTTATAAGAGATTCTACTGAAAGATTCTGTTCCGTAAAGGAACTCATTAACACCAACATCCCCGGTTGTCATAAATGCTGTATAGCTATATTTTTTTAACAGGGCATTCTTTTTGAAAATATCCACCAAGAAAGTCTAATCTACTGTTTATTGTATGTTCATATGTATAGAAGTATTCTATAGTACTTGATCTTGCAGACCATGAAAGTTGTATTAAGTGCCACAGCGATATATTAGAAGGTAAAAAGGTTGGTTATAGTAAAAGGAGTAGTGTAACGTTTTTAACTGACTTTCTCTGTATTTGTATATATATTGGTCAAAGCAATCCTATGTCTAATTTGAAGACCTCATGATGAAGGGAATCATTGGATAGATGTTGATATACTGAGATTGGATTCACAATTTCCTGTAAACTGTGTTGTGATGTTTGTTATTTAAGTCACAGATGAAAAGTGGAACTGTGGTAAGTCTGGAGGAATAGGAAAGACGAGAGGGGGAAGTGAGACTATTCAAAGGAAAGCCAGTTATAACTTGACACTATCCTTTAGTGAGGGGTCACACTGCAGGAAAGATGAAATGAAACTGTACATTAAATCCACTTGAAAACTAGAAGAGCTAGAGTGCAGAGGCCTGTACTACGAAGCTGGTTCAACCTAACCTGGATATGTTGGAGTTAGCCGGTTGGCCTAAGCCAAAACATACGCGCTGGCGCTAAGCTGTACTACGACGCTGGTTATCAAGTGGATCGCTCAAGCCAGCCGTGTCCTATCTAGTTAGGTGCGCGTTCACATGAAAGGGGTGGTATTTGGAGCATTCGACCAATCTCAAACACGGACAAGCTTACTGACAGCGCAGCGTCATACTTCCTGAATGAAAAGTGAACTTTAATATTAGTCAAATATGAAGAAGTTAAACTTTAAACATCCATGACTTAAACACTTTATCCAGGATAAAAGCCACATAGCTGCACCTGCAAGGTGAATACAGCTGGTAAAAGAAAAAGTGTTTGAATGCGTACATTAACAGGTTTATGAAATCACTGCCCCGTCCAAGACACGAGTGGATCTGACTTTAATTAGGAGAATTTGACTCGAGTGTTTCGTCAACTTAATGTGTTGCTTAAAATAATACTTCTGCATACAGTATGTGACACTGTGAGTGTTGCACGGCCAGATACGGCTCAAGAAGCTGACTCAAATAAGGAAATATATGATACATTATGATGTGATATGATATGAATGATAATGGGACACATCCATGGGCGTAGGAAGCATCCTGAATGTGGGGGGGACATTTTTAACGGGGGGTGTTGGGGCGAAAAAAAATATAGATTTCCTGTATTCTGGTGCATTTTAACAGGTGGTTTGATACTTTTATGTGGCTATACTAGCATGAGGAAAATGATGGGTACATTTTGTAATTTCATCCAGTAGTAAAGAAAGGAAACATATTTGATTATTAATTCAGAGCCGTCTTTGAATTAATAAAAAGCAGTTTAAATGCCCATTTTTTTGTACATTTATATACAACAATAAATATTTGTGAGTGCATTGAGAGATATTGTTGTGGAGAGTCATTTATATATAAATCGCAAAATACATTTGTGAATCCTTCTGTGAGCATTTATTAATATTGAGACTGATCTGACTCCATATGGATGTTAAGTTCACCTAGGAATGGTATCATTGACTTAAATGTTCAAATAAATGTTGCTCTTCTGTCTATATTGGTCATATGATGCCCCTTGACTGAAATGTTTCCTGTTCAATATCCCCACTGATTTCCTTAAAATCCTGGGATGAGAGTCCACATCACAATTTACTCTCAACTGTCATTTCCCTTTCATCACTCACCTCAGCAATGGACCTCTCTCCACTGTCCCTGTATTCTGCCTCTGACTCACTCTCAAGTGCCTAGATGTCAAGAGAGGTGGTGAAGTGATCATTATTTATTGAGCAGTATACTCTTTCACATTGAATCATAACAAGTCATACTGAATGTAAATACAACTGACTCTAAAGTAAGTCCCAGTCTGTGACATTGGACATTTTGAAGACTCAAAGTCCCAAGCAGTAGGTAGAATATTAGCTAGTCTATGTAATGTGCACAGAAAATAAATAGTTAACTAAATACTGGGATGGAAATAGCCTATAAGCACTCAGTAAAACATAAACACACACAAAAAGCTTCTGAATGATAAGAAGTATAATTAAAACATAATGCACATTACCATTTTGAGAGAGAGTACCTAAGTTAAAGAACTCAGAAAATAATCTCGTATCGAACTGAGGCTCCAGTAAAACACACTGACTGCGTCTCTACTGTACATGGACATCAGTAAGCCGTTTAAGAGTATTATCCCGGTTATGATGTGTTTACATGAGCAGAGAGATCGGGTTATTCATGTTCCCTGTTTACATGATAAATACTAGTAACCTGGCATTTCGATGCCTTTTCTTATCTAAACTATTCAGTATTTGTATTTCTCTATCATGACATAAAGACGAAACTCCTCTCCAGAAGTGAGACGCATTTGCCGCCACCACCGCCATCACTGTTAAGTTAACAGTGTTAACTGATTAACTGCTACCAGACTTACTTTCCTCTTCTTTGCAAAAAATGTTCTTATGTCCATGTTGTCTGGGGGAGAAAACATATCAAACCAAGAGATAGTCAGCTTTGATTTTCGCTGTATTAACCATTTCCTGAACATTTGGTGTGTGTGCCTTACCTCCGCTACCGGCATCCTTCATACAACAGAATCTGAGCTGTCCAACTATGACATCACTCCTTGAACATGCGCGCGCTATGTGAGAATCTGCCTTGGTACAAAGTAGCAGTGAAAACATGGTACGGAGTTTCATTGATTTGGGCATTCTCTCAATAAGCAAGTGGAATGGATTTCATTTGATAGTGAAGCACTGCAGCGCTCTGCAAAGAGCGGCGAGTGGATAGACCGATTCACGGACTTTCCGCATAGTAAAAGTGGGGGGGTCCAAACTAATCATTTGAAAAAGTGGGGGGGACTTGTCCCACCCTCATATAATGGTTGCGACGCCCATGGACACATCTACGTCTGCACTCACAGTGCCGCGGACTGTACTTAATGTTACTCTGATCCGGTTACTTATGTCGTGGCAGATATTTAAGTAAGCTTTCTTAACGCTAATATTATATTAGTCAGATTGCTCTGAACATGGGAGGGGATATTCTATTAATTTTCACGTTCACACAGTCAGTTGATTTTGGCCGGCAGTCTTTCCTGCAACGGCAGTTTTTCTGTATTTCCTCTATCCTGAATTGATCGCTTGAAACTCCGCACACGGAGCTCTGATTAGTCAGCAGGCAGTGCTTTCACTGAGTTGATCTCTTAGCCTGCCACCTAACCTGCTCCGGAGCAGGTTTGCCGCTCAGCATAAGTTACCATGGAAATCTAGCCTGCTAAAAAGAGAACCAGCGTCGTAGGACCGGAAAGCCCGAGATTTCCCTGAATTTAGCCGGCTAAGCGAAAATCCAGCTTCGTAGTACAGGCCTCTGATCTCTGCCATGTGTGTCTGTCAACAGGGCAGGTCTCCAGGTGAACCTTTTCCAACACCGGCCCAAAACTGTCCCACAAGAGCACGGAAATATATTTGTTTAATTTGGGGAGAAACCCTTCCAAACCAAAAATGTGGTTTCTCTAATTTGTAATCCACCAACCAACCACCAAACCAAGTGGCTTGTGTTCTTTCAAAGCAGGCCACTTAATGAGCTGGTTTCTTATAGCAAAACACAGCTAAAACACGACAGAATATGTCGTCAGTTCAGAAGTTCCGTTAGCTGTTAGCTGTTGCTATTAGCACACACACCATAGAGTAAAGACAGCACCAGTCATGACGGTTTTAAACAGACAATAAAATACATTTTTCAAAACATTTGAATCATCACAACCACGAGAAGTCCTTTATCATACAGTGATAAATAAGTTCAACAATTATTGATCTTATTGGTCCAGTAATATGGGAGATTAGCCATGGAAAAGGAGGAAATGTAAAGCTAGGATCGAAAGCAAGATGCCTTTGTGTCATTTGGTTTATATGCATATTTTGTGTTACCATCAGAAACGCTCAAAAGGGTTTCATGAGTGTAATTGTTTGCTCTGTGGGCAGATAATTTGTTTCTGTTATGGGACACATGCATATGGAAAATAATCAAATCAAGCCTTGACTAACACCACAAACAGGCTCATAAAACACAGCAGTACTAGCTCTTCAGATTACTTTCACCTCACTAAGATACACATATATGCAATCACGCTGTTTGTCTTTAAAGGTTTGATGGTACTTCTGTTCTGCTGAGTACTGTAGCAGCAGTATTATGATGAATTGATGAAGCTCACAGTGTTACACTTTGATTTAAAGTTCACAGCATAGAGGAATAATCAGCTTATTTCACACTTTTTTGTTGTACATTTCTTTAAAACATCTGTATCATATAATCATACTGTATTACCTTTTAAATACTGTAACATGCAAATATCAAGTTATTTCACATCTTTTTTAAACTGTTTTATTGTGCAAAGGTGTCAACAAAGAGGCAAAAAGCTGCAACGTTTGATGGTGGTCCAAGATAATTTAAAGATTGTTGTGGAGTTTTCATTTGGCTGTCTATTCGCTTGCTGTACCCAAGAGCATAATTGGCATTGTCATAATATAATACATTTAAAAAAATGTTTTCAAAGATTTCAGTTTGGTAATTTTCTCTCCAAAACAGCAACTTGGTACTTTGTCTGAGGCTAAAACTCAATGAGTTTAATTATATCTGCTTCTATAGTACAACGTCTTCAAGAAATGAGTTTGTCTCTTGGTATGAAATGTGTTGTAAACTTTTGTCATAATGTAAGTAGTACATAACTCAGCAACATAAATGGCTTGAGGATGAAACCGTCTTCGTATTTAGTCATTTTAAATACATTTGAATTGTAACTGTTACATGATATGCCTTAACATAAACCAACACACCTGTAAAAAACAGATTTTATTTTTTATGAAACAACATGGTATCCAGCTTCCCAGAACAAATGACCATATCTTCCCTTCTAAAAGGGTTAAATTAATAATCTTTTTTCTCAAAGTAATGATAAACCTGTGAGTTGGATGTAGAAAAGTCAGAATCAATATAGATGTTTTTTATTTTAAAGAAAATTCAGATTTTACATAGTAAAAAACCAACCTGGTCTCACCAGAATGCGTGACTCCACCACGACTCCTTAACACCGCATTGCGTGGTGGAGTCACGAACTTTGCTACATTTACGTGTCTGCACCACACAAACAACCCCAATGTAAAGTGAATGAGGCTCCTCCCAGATAGCAAGCGGATGTGGCCCACTTCAGGCAATGATGCGGCACTGCTGGCCTTCTTCTGGCCCGGACCAAATGGATGTGTGCCTAAAGTGGCCCACTTGTAAAATAGCAAATATGGCCCACATATCCCAAAGCAAATGTGGGCCTTTTTTGGCAAAGATGCGGTGCTCCTGCAATGTGTAATCTGGATGTCACCCTAAAGTGGCCCATGTGGGAAATGGTGAATGTGGCCCAAATATCACAAAACAACTGTGGGCCACCTTTGGCAAAGATGTGGCAGAATGGACAAAGGCTAATCTGGGTGTAAACCAAAAGTGGCCCATATATGATGAAGCAAATGTGGCCCAGTTAT